GTAATTCTTGCATGTAACTTCAACAGACTAGAAAGATGCATAGTGAGAATGGATGTTGAGAGCCCCTTTCCTGAACTATTGACTCTGAAGCCAAGTTTGTTAATCAAGTGCAGTGTGTGACGACATACGCAGAAAATGACCCAGTAGATTTGGAAGCGAGGCAGTGAAGGTGGCAACAAAGGCGGAGGCAGGCAACCCTTGCCCACAGAGGAGGAGCTTCAGGAGGATTGTCTTGGGCAGGCACCGCGGAATAAGGGATGCATGAGAGCAATGGAGTGGGTTTCCTCACTACAGCAAGCAGTTTTTCCACTTGCTTCAACTAGAACGTATAGCCCGTTGTGCTCTGAGTAATGAACTGGCTCGCTTCCTGCCTTTTCCTGGCCCCCAGGCCTTGCTGTGCAACATGCTTGGTTTTTCTCTGTATTGGGCCTACGGCATGCCTGCCAATCCAGGAGAGCAGTTCATGCCTTTGGCGAAGTGGGCTCTGAGCACAGGAAATTGTCTGCCATGATACCTTGCTTAGTCTTCAGGTTGCCACAGGGCTTGGTGCAGAGTGCAGACTGTCATATCTCTTGGAGGCCCTGCTCAGGCTAGGCCTGCAGCGTGTGTTTTAGACAGCTGTGTGCTCACACAGGCTGCAAGCTGGCAGAGCCCTGATCTGAGAGCACACGCTTCAGCTGTGAGCCTGTTTGTGGGGAGGGCTTCACCAGGCCACTGCCTTTAAAACCTTTCTCATTCCCATTTTGTTTCACTGGGGAGCTTTGGCTGTGGAGGCCCCAGGATGTGGGCACGGTGCTTAGTCAAATCCGGCCACCGCCTGTGTGCTTGACCCTTGACTCTCATAACTTACTATAAGAACTAAGGGCGGGATTTCTACCCGTGAGGCTATGAATGGCTCCTTGAGAGAGGAGTGCTGCCAGCCTCTCTAAAAGAAGCTGTAATTAAGCCATACCTGAAAAAGTGCAGTCTGGACCCAAGAGAGGTTAATAAATATAGACCAGTGACCAACATCCCCTTCCTGGGCAAGGACTTGAGTGGGTGCTAGTTGGGCAACCCCAGGCTTTCTGAGAATAAACGGACTATCTAGATCCATTTCAATCAGGCTTCAGACCTGGGTTTGGAATGGAAACTGCCTTGGACATCCTGTGGGATGACCTTTGCTGGGATAAAGATGGGGGAGTATGACCCTGTTGATGCTCCTGGACCTCTCAGCAGCTTTTGATACCATTGACCACGGTATCCTTTTGGATAGGCCAGTTGGGTTGGGAGTTGGAAGTAATGCCTTGCAGTGGTTCTGCTCCTCCTTGACCATCCAATTCCAGAAGGTGGTGCTGGCGAATTATTGCTTTGTCCCATGGCAGCTATACTGTGGGGCACCACAGGGCTCGTTTTACTCCCTATGCTGTTCAGCATCTGCCTGCATCTGCTGGGGGAGGTTATCTGGAAGTATGGGCTGAGGTACCACCAACATGTGGATGACACTCGGCTCTACTGTTCCTTTTCGTCAAACCCAGGTGAGGCAGTGGCCACTCTGAATCGGGTTCTGAGCATGGTCATGGATTGGATGAAGGGCAATAGAATGAGGTGCTGGGGAGTCATTGGGTGACGTTAAACTGGTCCTGGATGGAGTTGCACTTCCTCTCAACAACAAGGTTCATAGTTTGGGGGTGCTTCTAGACCCTGAGTTGTCACTGGAGGCACAAACGGACTCTGCGGCATGAAGCACCTTTATCAGCTTAAACGGATGCATCAGCCGGACAGAGAGAGAGCCCGGCTGCACTTATCCATGCTCTGGTAACTTCCCCTTTGGATTACTTCAGTGCATTGTATGTGGGGCTGCCTTTGAAAACAGTCCAGAAACATCAGGTGATGCAAAACAGGGCAGCAAGGCTGCCGATGGGACTGGCTCATAACAACGCGTCACACCAGACCTCTTCCAGCGGCACTGGCTGCCAGTTGAAGTCCAGGCCTGATTCAGAGTGCTAGTACTAACATTCAGAGCCCTAAATGGCTTGGGGCCAGGGCATGTGAGGGAAGGCCTCCTCCCATATGTACCTCCCTATACCCTGACGTCATCTTTGGCGGTCCTTTCAGAAGTCCCTTTCAAAATAACTGAGGCAGGTGGCTACCAGGGGGATGGCCTAAAATTTTTAGTTGTGGCACCCTGGTATTGGAATGAGCTCCCCAGAGAGATATACCTGGTAAAGATCTTTGTATTTTCCCAATATTTTGACAGTTTAACTTTGTTTTTATATATTCCATTTTATTCCGTAGCTGAATCAAAGCAATTGCTATTATGGTTTTGTTCTTTTAAATTATGTGTGCATTTCTTTTTAACTTTTGTTTAATTTTACCATTCGTTAACTGCCCAGAGAGCCTCCGCTATTGGGCAGTATAAAAATGAAGTAAGTAAGTACATGCATCCATAATACAGCCTGCGTTGGCAGGCAGGTTGCAGCAGTCGTGGAAGTGCGGAAATGGTTTGCCTAATGTGGAACATGGGCTACGTCTGTGTAGGCATCTCTGTTACATTTTGGAACGGCCTAGGGAATGTGAGCAACTTTTCTACAAGTCTGGACGGGACCCCGTTGGTGAACCCGTCCTGCCTGGACTTGTTTAATGACATGGTGAAGGAGGGTTGGTGTGACAAACCACAGCCTCTTGCCTTTTCCCAGAACATGTTCCAGCGTCCATCTTTCAGTTCATCAACCTGAAAGGCTTTGTAAGATGCGACCCTGCAGTTATGCTAGAGAGCTGGCGTAAAATGTTTAAAAACCTGGTTGAGTTAAACCAGAGCAAATTCCACTGGGGGAGCAAACCCAGAAATGTTTGTGCTTCTGCAGGTGCCTTCATCAGCCTAGCACAAAAACTAGCCTTGCCAGCTCCAGTTTCACGAAAACATTTTGTGCTGGATGCTGTTGGCTAAAGGGCATCAGTGTTCCTAACAGCTTCCCGTCTAAATCACCCTTTCCCAGCTAGGTGTTCCTCTCGCCCAAGATATTTTGGAGCTGCCCCATCAGCTCCCGCTGGCATAACCAGTGGGCAGGGATGCTGGAAACTGTACTCTAAAGCACCTGGGGGACCCAGGTTGGAGAAAGCTGGTCTAACCCATGTGAGCAGGGCGGGCATCGCAACGGAGCGGTGGCCTGGGTGCTGTGGACAGGCCTGGCCAGGCGTGCTGTGCAGCACTGGCATTCTCTGCGGCGATGTGGGAGAGCAGCCACGGAGACCCTTCATGGGGCAGCCTGTGAGGGAGGAGGAGATGGAGAGGCCACATGGTGAAGCATTTTCAGTGGTCGGGCTGAAGGGGGCAGAAGCTGCCAAGTTAATCCCGCAAAAGTATTGCAGACGTTGCAGTGCTGCAGGCTTTCCCCCCAAAAGCTTCCAACGTGGGTAACTTTGATCAGTGAAGAGCTTTGCAGACTGAAAGTCGGGGCTCCAAAGGGAAGAGGGCAGGGAACCCAGCTCAGCACGGCCGACGGGGGCCTCCCTCTCTGCTGCAGCCTGTGGAAGCGCTTCTAGGGACAGTGAACAGCAGTGGGGAGCGCAGTGAAGCAGGGCCAGCAGCAGACGGTTCGTGAACTCTTGCGGTTTGCATTGTCCGCCACAAAGTGAGCTCCGCCGGCCCCTCATGATGTCACCAAAAGAGGACTGGAAGTGAGGGTAGGGAGTCCGGGAAGGTGTTGCGTGTGCTCGTGGAGCAGCTTGATGAGCTGGAAGAAGGGGAAGTGCCTATTCAAGGAGATGGGGAAACATCTGCCACTCCTGTGACGGGGTGCCCAGACAACTCTAGGGTCTGCGTGACAATGCTCGGGGGTGTTGCTTGTCCCCTGCACCTGGCTTCTGGGTGCTCATTAGTACCAGATTTCCTTAGGTGACTCTGTCTGAGCAGTATCAGAAGTGTGGAAGGGGAAGAAAGTGATCCAGTGCAAGAAATGCTCTCAGGTGCACCCCTAGCACTGTAGGGAGAGAGGGTCTTGGAATGACTCCAGCAAGGCTGCCCACCTGCTCCCCAAGGAGCACTGACGCTTTCATTGCAACAGGAACAGTCTCTTGGGAAAAAACAAGGGCAGAAGTAATATTCGATACTGGACAAAGGCTTCTGGAGACAAGCGAGTCACTACCTCATATTAATGGCTTCCCTTCAGTAACATGTCAGTGATCACTTTGGAAATATTCTTTACCCCTCCCATCTCTGTGATGCCTAACGCATGTCAAGCCTTAGCATTGCATTAATCTATATTGCATTATTCTGCAAGGAGCCCAAGTCTTCTGCAGGAGCTGGCCCTCCAGGCTGAGCACTTGCTGTCTCGGGGGGGGGGGGGGGCATGAGTGATGGGACAGCCCCTGGCGGTGGAAAGGACCTTTGGCTTGCCTCTTGAGGGGCAACAATCAGTCGAAGTTTCCACAAAGCCTGACCTTTGTGTCTGCGGGTTGGGAAGTTGTACCTGAGGCACCCAGCCTCAAGGAGTTCATCTGTGGCTGCCAAGCCCTTTCCGGTAGGACTGTCTGTCATCTGCATAGAGGCTCAGCCTCTGTCCAGGGAGCCAGTGGCACAGTTGAACTGAAGGGGAGTGACTGATAGAGAAATAAACTGAGCTGCCGCCACCTGAGTTTCCTCAACAGTGGGAAGTGCAAATGATGTGCAGCTTTGTTGGGAAAATGGCCCCATTCAGAACATCTGCATTACAAAAATCTTTGCTGCTCAGGTTTGCAGGCTGGCCTCAGCTCCATGCCAGGCTTCCCAAAGGGCCTGCTGTGCAGTGACTGGGCATGGCCCTCTGGCCCTGGAGGCCAGTCGCCTTCCCGGGCTGGTGCCCTCCTTGGCTTTGCCCCTGTGCAGGCCCAAAAGTTATCCTTTCTGCTTCACCACTCATCCTTGGGGCATATGGAGCATTTTTCTTTTTCTTTTTTTAAATCACTGGCCACTCCAGCAGTATAGGATAGAGGCTGGAAGAAGTGGGTATTTATTTTATGCATTTATGTGTTCTACTTCCTAGCTGCTCGGAATGCCAGGACCTCCTCACAAACTGGTACTATGAAAAGGACGGAAAGCTCTACTGCCATAAGGACTACTGGAGGAAATTTGGAGAATCCTGTCATGGCTGTTCTTTGCTGATGACGGGGCCTGTCATGGTAAGGCCTTTGTTCCGGTGTGTCTCAGGCTTCTAGTGCTACTGCTGGCCTCCGTTTCCAGTGGGTTCTTCTCGTGCTTTGTCTCCCCTAACCTGGGGCCCTCCAAGCATGTTGGGCCATGGCTGGGGGATGCTGAGAGTTGTAGTCCAGCACAACTAAAGAGTACCAGATTGGGAAGGCTGGCTTAAGTGACTGAGCAGGATTACAGTCCAAAGTCTTGATCATTTCGTTAGGCTTTGTTTTTCCTCAAGGAGTAGCAGGCCGCCTGAGAAGTCAGTGGCTGCAGCTTTGTTCAGCTGTGCTTTGGAAGAGGTCTCTAATGGAAGCATTTCCTGTGCAGGCCCCAAACTCTGCCTGCTTTCCTCAGTTCTAGGGACTTCTTTGGTTCCTTTGCTCCATAATAGCCCCCCACATACCTTTCCCTCTGCTCCGCACCTGTGTTTGTCTCTGCAAAGAGCAGCCTGCATGTACAGCCCGAGCTTGAGGCTCGGGGGCCTCTGATGGCTTTGCAGGACAGAGCAGCCTCAAATGCAGAAGCTGCCTGTCTCTGCACAGAGACAGCAGGCCTCCGCTGGGAATGTGTGTGTTTCCCATGCTCTGAGATTGCTGCGCTCACCTAGGACAGCAATGGGGACAGATCCAGGGCTGCTCTGTTCTTCATAGAGTGGGACTGGGCCAGGAAGTGTGTCTGTCCGTGTGCTGCCCCATAAGCTAAGGCTGTGTGAGCAAGATGGGCTTCCAAGCTGAACCAATGAAACCTGTCCTTCTTCCACTTGGCCAGCCCCCTGCTCTGGCTGGCAGAAGCTCTCCGGTGTCTTTCCCGGTCCTGCCACCTTCTTAAAGAGAAGATGCTGCCAGGGATGAATCATAGAAGAGTTGGGAGGGGCCATCGAGTCCAGCCCCCTGAGATACTGGGCTTGCTGCTATGCCACTGCGTGTGATGGGGCATGGGGAGCATGTGTGCCCAGCACAGTATGGCCTAGAAAAGTTTGTGCTTGGGGGATGTGTCCCTCCCTCCCTCCCTCCCCCCAATTCCATGGGAGCACCACAGTGTGCAGTCCTGTGGGCCACGCCAAACTTGCTTTCACTTCTGATGAACAGGACAGGGGGCAAATGTCTCCCCATATCTTGATAGAAAGCTTGGCAGCCCACTCACTGGGCGGAATAAACTCTGGTTTTCCAGGTCTGACCAGCCTTCTCCAATTTGGTGCCTTTCAGACCATTTCACTTCTATACCACCCAGTAGCTGGAGCTCCAGATAGGCTGGAAGGCAGGCAGTTCCCTGGGTGGAGTTGCAGGGCAGAGCTTCTGGAGGGCACGAGTTGCAGGTGGCTGCTCTGGCCACGGGCTGTCAGTTTTAGGGGACATCGCAGGTCAGCTGACTGTTGGACACTAACCTCTGGCAAAATAAGTGGCATGGGACGAGGGCTCCTTTCAGGGGAGGGTTAGGGGACTTGCCTTGTTGTTCACAGGATATTTGGAGCACGTACCAGGGCAGCTGTCTTCCTTTGTGACTCTCTGGTGTCTTCCCATGGTGTCTTCTCTCTTTTTCCTTTTCCTCAGAATCCCGGTTAAGGAGGTGGAAGGCTGACCAGAGACGCTTTTCTAAAGCAGTTGCCCCCAGTCAGGTGCCCTCCGAGTATGCTGGCCTAGGGCTCCCATAATCTCCAGCCAACATGGCCATGATGGAGTTGCAGGTTGGGGAGGGCACCTGGAGGGCACCAGGCTGGGGAAGGCTGGTCTGAAGGGCCTCATCATCAGCATTAGCTAGGGTGAACATTTGCGAGATTGTCAATGGACTGTAATGTCCTTAGGGAGTCAGAGGTATCCCGTAAGTAATGAATTGCGATTACCTTTCTCTCGTGTGTGTGTGAGAGAGAGAGGGAGAGAGAACAAGTACACACATGTGCACACACACGTATGTATGGCGCATGTGTGCCACCCTTCTCCCTTGGCATCAGGCCTTTCCCCCAAGTCAGCCCACAGCCAGCCTCTCACTTTCCGTGCCATGTCTACTTCCAGAGCCTGTTCAACAGCAAACTGGGGCTGGCATTTGGGCACAAACTTTGTCTGTACATGCCACATCGGGACCCATAATCCGGACCACCAGAGAAGGTCAGAAGCACTCAAGGCATGCATATTGCCAGGGAAGGCAGGCAGGCAGGCAGGCATCAGGGAAAGGGAGCCTTGTGAAGTCCTCCTGCTAGAAAACCCTCATCGAGGCCGAGGAGCTGGCTCCAAAGCACAGGATTTCTCTTTCTCCCCCAAATGCAGGAGGCTGGTGAGCACTCACAGAGGCCCCACCTGCCAGGCTGGGAAGGCAAGCTTCATCTGGGTGGTGCAACATGGCGTCCTGCAACAGCAGGGGGTTGGACTCGATGGCCTTCATGGCCCCTTTCAACTCTACTGTTCTATGATTGTATGATCTGAACTTCCTGGAAGAGGTGGAGCTACTCCAGAAGCTCCATTATTGATTGCTGCCTGGTGGTGGGAAGCATGCTTCAGAGGTTCTCCTCCAGCCGTGAGAGCAACCAACAGCAGAGAAAAGAGATGAGAAGGGGCTCAGGAGCGAGGAGAAGGCCCCATTGCAGCAGCTGAGCAGAAGGGGAGCCTGTGTCAGCTCCCTAATGGATGCTGGGCCTTGTGCCCATGTTGCAGGCCAGGCTTCAGTTCCTCAGGTGTGAAAGAGCAGCTGGTTCACAGGCATCTTGCCTCACAGCATGTAAGCTGCATGCCAGGATGCTGCAAGCGGAGCAGTTCTTCCCACTGCAGTGCAGGTGAACCGGAGAAGCACCAGGAAGCTGCCACCTCAGATCACAACTTTGCCCTTTGGCTGCACCTATCAAGCTCCCCACTGGGCTCTGGCCCCAGCCGGGGCCCAGAGGCAATGGAGGCTGATGAAAGCAGTTTCTGCCTACAGGGCTGGTTGGGTAAAGCTTCCCCTGGCCCTCAGCAACAGAGCCCAGGGGGACCAAACAGGCCTCAGCCTGCAGGTTCTCCAGGAGATTCTTGCCCGTGCCCCCCGTTTTGCCCCCAGACGCCAGGGCTGATGCTCGGACCTGGCCCCCATCCCAGTGCAATCACCTGCCATTCCCAGGCCGCTGTGCTGCCCAGGAGAGCTGAGGAAGAATCATGCTGTGGTTGCTAGAGGGGTCCTTCACCAGGTGAGAAGGGACGCCATTCCAAGGCGCAGTAGGCACTTTTGAGGGGACACAGGTGCTTTCCCTGTAAGAAATGCTGTCCCTTCATAAGGGAGCAGATCCAGGAGGAGGTCTCGCAGGGGGAGTCTCACGTTTGCTCACCCAGCTACAGAAGGAGCCGGTCCTCTATTAGCTCAAGATGCAGCCATGCCCCGCCCATCAGAAGCATCCTCTGCTGGAGAGGAGGGGAGAAAAAGATGCTCTCCAGATGGAGCTAGGAGCAGAGGCCTTTTCCTGAAGGAAGCACAGGAGGCCTAGTTCAGCCCTCCGCAGAAGCATAGTCCTGACAAGCCAAGAAAAAGGAGTGGGCACACACCATTGCCCTCTTCTTCCTCACATTCTCAATCCAGCACAGCACTATTGCCTGGATCCTAGTGGAGAGCAAGTATTAAAGGCCGTGCCAGATGTCTTGAAGAAGAAAAGGAAGTGGACCCTGGCAAAGCCCAAATCCTTTCTCTTTTTTCATCTTTCCATTCCTCCTTCCTCCACCCGCAGAGGGACCGAGCAGAGATGACACCAACCCCCATCCCCGCCATCCCAGTCTTGCCAGGAAAAGAAGCCTTCATCTGCATGACCTCCATGTGAAGGAAACTTCAAATCTTTTTGAGTGCTTGCAGGCAGCACTTTTCCAACTCCTGGCCCTTGGAGACGATTCAAAACAGATACTTGCTGAAGTTTAGGAAGATTCCCAGGGACAGGCTGCTCATAACACACCACCTCAGTGACCACTCAAAGCACCCGACAACCATCTGTCGTCTGCTACAGATCTAGGCCACAGAGAAGGACCTGAAGTTCAACATGGGGAAGGGCATCTTCTCATTCTTCAAAGTAGGGTTTTGGGGCTTGACCCATCCTGGATCTGAAAAGGGTGGATTGCAGCCTCCAGACCTATACATTCAGAAGGAAGACCTTCAGAGCAATACATGAAAACTTCAAGGAGGGAACTTCCTAGCCTCAGTGGGCCTGATGAAAATGCACCTCCACATCCTCATCTCTCTGGCTACCACAGTTTCCTCCATTTCACCTATGGTAGGAGACAATACCAGTTCAGGGCCCTCCCATTTAATCTGGCTATAGCCCCCAGTTCTTCATAAAGGTCCTCTTGGTCCCAGTGGCACTTCTTTGGTCCAGGAGACTCTAGATGCATCCCTGCCTTGACAACATCTTGATCTGCTCTGCTATGCAGGAACACAGCCTCCAAGACCTCAGTGCCACCCTTGAAAACCTTTCAGAACCTGAGCTGTCTGGTAAATGAAACGAAGAGTGCACTCTCCCCAACCCAATCACTTCCCTCAGGCCAGCCTCCTTCAGAGCAGTCCCTTTCCTCAACAGACTGGAGCTGTGCCCTCAAGGCCTCTGATCAGCCCTGACAGCGCCAACAGGCTGCCCATCAGCCTCCAAGGCTATGCTTGCACCACGCCTGCCATTCGTGACTGCACGGGCTCTTTCAGCTGCACCATTCACTCTGTCTACTCCCAGATGCTTGGACAAGGCTTGCTGGGCTTGGAAGCTGGCAAAGAAGGCCAAAATCAGAGCAGACCTGGGCACCGCCATAACCAGGAAGAGGCTGAAGGCATACCATTCCCCCCCCCCCCCGCCCCACAAAGTGCACCTGCAAAGTGCACCAGCATGGCCTACTCCCACAAGGAGAGTGAGGTCCAGGTTGCATTGCCCTATGCCCCAGCCAACCCTCTCTCCATGGCCTCCCCAGCTAGGACTCTTCACCCCTGCACTGAGGGCCACCACTTCCCATTTATTCCTTTGTGACTCAGCTCATCACTGGTACAAACTTACTTCCTGGCCAAGACTCAGCTCATCAATTCCAAGACTCAACTCATCAATGGTGTGGGCTTACCTGCTGGCCAACAGAGTGGTAGCCTTGGCCCATCTGTCTTTGAAGCTCCGGGCAACCCCCAGAACTATGGTGAAGCAGATACAATGCCTCCTCAGATTCTTGGCAGTGACAGTCACAGTCATCCTGCTTGCCAGGCTACTGATGCAGCTGCTCCAGCTGTGGTTCATTTGCACCTATTGATCTCAACGCAGTTTGGTCCAGTGGTGCCTTGTCATCCTGCACTTGGTGAGACTGAGCTAGTATGGTGGACCCATCAGCCCAACCAAGCAGAGGGAGTCAGCTTCATGCCACCGGAACTGGACATTATGCCGACCACGGACAACTCCCAACACGGATGGGGGGCACAGTGTGGATGGCTCAGGACAGGAAGGAGCATATCGACTACCTTGAGTTGCTTGTGGTCAAGAAAGCTGTAGTTACCTTTCAGCCCTGCCTTCAGGACAGGCAGGTTCAGGTCACCACAGGCAACATCACTGTGGTGTTCCACCTGAACAAACCCAGTGCACCATGCTGACATGCCTCACCATCCATATGGGACTGGTGTATCAAGAGAGGCATTACCGTCATTGCTCATTCCTATTCATCTGGCTGGGACAGTCAGTGTCATGGCAGACATATTGAGCAGGTGGTCCAAGGGGATCCATGAATGGGAGCTGGATCCCAAAGCCCTTACAGATCTCTTCCAGGCCTGGGGCACACCTTCAGGTGATCTCTTTACCACTGCGAATGATGCGGTGTGCAACGGCTTCTGTTCCCAGGCCAGGGTTGGCTCAATGGGAGACACGGGATACTGTTCCTTGTCTGCCAGAATGGGATACTTTTCTGCCTATTCCCACCATGCCTACTTATTACCAGGTTGCTGGTAAAGAACGGCAGAGGTAGAACCACTTGTATCCCCCTTCTCCTGTCCAACGGGATGCTTCTCTGACTCCCATCAAAAACAGGTATCATCTCTCAGTGTAAGGGCCAGGACCTGGGCAGCAGCTGGGCCAGGCAGAACACCAGGACCGGGGTACCTACGCACGGTGGGGCTTCAGGACCAGTTGGGGACCTGTGGCAAGCACTAGTTACCAGTCCAAGGTCAAACTGGAGGAGACGTTCAGTTAGAGCAAGATGGGAACAAATCAGAGTCAGGCAGGAACAAACTGGAGCGGGTCCAGAGCAAGGCAGGAGTGACCAGAACAAGCAGAAGCAACAGGAGCAGGGCTGGAGCAAGGCAGGGACGGCTGGAGCAGGGCTCAGAGATGCCAGGGCCCGAGCACAAGGAGTCACCAGGACAACTTGTGTTGCTGTGCCAAAGAGCAACAGTGTCAGAAAGCCTTTTATGCTGGTCTCTGTGCCTTCCAGCTGCTCTGTGAATTGGCTTCTCAGTTGTTCCCTGCAAGGCAGTTGTTCCCTGGAGGGTGGCACCAGTGGTCCCAATCTCTAGCATAAGGGACATGAGGAATTATAGGCCGGTTAGCCTTACATCCCTTGTGAGAAAGACAATGGGAAGGCTCATAATAGGAGATGCTCTGGAGTTCCTAGATAGGGAAGGGAGGTTGGTGGCCACACAACACAGTTTCTGCAAAAACAGGTCCTCCGAGATGAACCTTGTGGTTCTAACCTATGACAACGAACCTATGACAAGGTTTCGAGGTGCCTGGATCAAGGGGATGCAGTGGATGTGGTATGCCTGGATTTCAGCAAGGCCTTTGACAAAGTGCCCCATGATATCCTGGTGGAGAAACTGAGGAGTTTTAGGATAGACCAATGCACTGTCCGGTGCATTAGGGCATGGTTGACTGACTGAAAGCACAGGGTAACCATTAGCGGGGAATCATCAGGATGGCAGACGGTGACGAGCGGGATCCCCCAGGGCTCAGTCCTGGGACATATCCTGTTCAATCTTTTCATCAGTGATCTGGAGGAGGGGGTGAGAAGTCTGCTGGTCAGATTTGCATACGATACTAAAATGGGGGTGGTGGCTACAACTGAGGAGCAGGTACTCTGGATCCAAAGGGATCTGGACAGACTATGGAAGTGGGCAGGGGACAGCAGGATGGCATTCAATGTGGAGAAGTGCAAGGTCTTGCACTCGGGGCATAGGAATGGGTGTCATAAATGCAGGTTAGGGGGCAAGTGGCTGGAGAGCAGCACTTGTGAAAGGGATCTCAGGGTACTGGTTGACTGCAGGCTAAACATGGATGCGTTCCAATGGAGCAAAGCTCAGGGAGCCAAGGTTCAATTTGGATGCCAGGAAGCACTTCCTGACAGTCAGGACCCCCAGGGTGTGGAATGGGCTTCCACGGGAGGTGGTTGAGGCCCCATCGGTGCGGGTGTTCAAGGACAGGCTGGACATGCACGTGGTGGGCATGTCGTGAGCAGCACCGGCTGGAGCCAGGGGTCAAGCTAGATGGCCCGGGAGGCCCCTTCTGACTCGCTCTGTTTCTGTGTTTCTAAGTGCTGCAGTCACTCCGGCCCTGTTCCTGACACTTGGGACTGTGGGGGCGTCTGGCATCCACCTCACGGCATGGAGGATCCCCCACTAGACCCTGCAGCCAGTCACACGGCCGTTGCACACAGCAAAGTGCAGTGCTTTTGCTGCCTTCTCCCAGCAGGAAGACGTTGCCTTGCAGCAGCTGTCCCTCCCTCCAGTCCTCAGCCTCCCTCGCACCCTGTGCACTGGAGCTGTGGCTTTCAACCTCTCCGTGGCTGGGGACTGGCAAAAACCGGAAAACCACTTCAGGAACCACTGAGGCAGAAACAAAAAGTGTCATATACATAATGCAGTATTCTGTGTGTTACTTTCCAAACACAATACCAAAAAAATAAAAATTCTTCAAAACAACCAGAAACCGGGCAGCAAAAAATGACAACAAAAGAACAAAATACTGAAATCGGTGCTGCATGGCTTCCAGCTGGCTCCCACGGAGCTGTGTCTCCCCTTCTTGCCCCCGCCGGCAGCACCGGTACACCCCCCCACAAATGCAGTGCCAGCCAAGGAAGAGATGGTAGAGTACTGCCAGCCCCCGGGCCGTTCTGCGGCAAGTGGGATGCAGCCCCTCCCGCAACACCGCAGGAAAGCTGCCGCGGACCAGCGCCTGAAAACCCCTGCGCTGGAGGACCTGGCCTCTGCTGAGGAATGCATGGCAGTGATCTCATTGCTCCATCTGCTGGTTGACGGCCTTTTGCTTTTTTCCCATCTGCGATGGCGCTGGCTTCTCAAGGGGCTGCAGAATATTGACCTGCAACTCTGTTCGTTCATTCCCAGCTGAAGCCTGTTGGTTGTTTTGTAGGCGATTATGAAGCTACCCTTCGAGCCACTGGCCGCCACGGGCCTGAGGCTCCTGTTCCTTGTGGCCGTCCCGTCAGCTGGACGGGCCTGTTAGCCTTGTGCCCTACCCATCGATCCACCATTCCTCGCCTTCCGTAAGGACAGGGCAGTCCTCTTTCCGGGGCCCTTTCCCTCCCTTAGGGGGCGTCGGCAATTCACCCGAGCCAGGACGCCGTTCTGCTGGGCTCCTTCCCAGTGGAATCCTCCCTCTCCTGCATGCCCTGGACGTTCCCAGGGCACGTGCCTTTGGCGGGTCCCGTGCTGAGCCCTTTCGCCAGTCCCAGCGATGCTACGGAGAGGGATCCCAGGCAGCCCGGCAGCTCCCCACGGCCTGTGCTTGGGTGGCTGAGGCCATTGCGCTGGCCTGCCGGCTCGCAGGACTGCTGCTCCCTGAGCGGCCCAGAGCACCCGTGGCCAGGGCGGTGGCGACCTCGACGTCGCTGCAGGCAGACATCCCTCCACCCCATCCGTCGGCCCGCGGCAGGCTCTACCGACTGGACCTCTTGCCAGGCAAGGCTGCTCCTTCGGCAGAGCAGTTCTCTCCATGGTCCTCCTCTTAGATGGCGCCCGCCCACCTCTGACTTGAGGCGAGCTCACTAGGCACCCATAGGTGTGATGCACGGAGAGCACGAAGAAGGAAGTCGGGTGGCTTACTGGTGCCTGTCGTTCTTCGAATGGACACCTGTGCATTCACACAACCCACCCACCGCCCTGTGTGGGTGCCAGCCAACGTTGGTACCATGTCTTCCCCGCAATCCCAGATCCGTCTGGTACAGGGCGGTCATTCACTTGCCTCCCCTTGGTTCCGAGGCCACAATGTCAGTCTTGAAAGAACTGAGGAAAAGGGAGGGGACCCCCCTAGATATATCAGGGGGCCGATGGGGAGGGTTCCTGCCAGCACGAGCATAGCTTGGAAATCTTCATGAAGAGGCCCTGCACAGGCAGAGCCCCCGAATGTGTGTGAATGCACAGACAACCACTTACTTGCTTACAGTTACAGGTAAGCAACCTGACTTTTTTCAATTTCTTCAACACTCAGTACAAACCCTGGCTCAGTCTTCATTTGGACGGATCACACAGTCTATTTTTAGGGGAAGGATGACAGGTTCAGAATTGGTTGAGCCTTCCTTTAATTTTGGGGTCTGCCAGGCCGCTCAGTTTTCATTAAGGGGTCTCATTTCTCTGCAGGTGGCTGGAGAATACAAGTACCACCCAGAATGCTTTGCGTGTATGAGCTGCAAAGTGATAATTGAAGATGGTGATACGTATGCCTTGGTGCAACACTCTGCTCTCTACTGGTAAGCCACAGCACCGGCGCTCCTTGGCTTGTACTTCTGATGACGGAGAGCGGGGAGGCTTCCCTGCTATGGCTTTGAGGCGGGCAACAGAGAAAAGAGTCTCGCTTTAAGAATGGTGTCATTAGCCAAATATTTTGTGTATTTTCCATAACTGAACTCTTTCATGCTGCATCAGGGAAAGAGAAGAGATTAAAGAGTGTTCTTTTCATGACCGTTCTGTCGAAGTAAAACCACCAAGACAGCCATGTAACGAAGTATCGCTTCCTGTCACACTTGACCACAAACATTCTGCAGTTGCGATCCTTGCAGGGATCATGTTTCTGTTGGGATCACAGCTGTGGGGTGAAGGTTTTAGACCCTGCAGCTGAGGGAGTGAAGGTAAAATTTATATTGCTTTAAGTTTGCCTCCCAGTCTGCAGGTGCTAGTAAGTTTCCAAGAACAAAATAGTGTGTCTTGGCATGTTCTGTAACACAAAAGGTGCTTGGCAGTGCCCGAAGCCTGAATACTGTCCACCTTCTCGGCTGTCCTCTGCCTACCCCGCTTCTGGGACAGCACTGCCTGTGTTGGGCAGGTGCAGGTTGTAAGGAGTGCTCCCTCTCCCGCTGGAATGGCACCAGGCTGCGTGTGGCGCAGGGGCCTTCTGGCACAGCTCCAGGGCTCCCCGGCGCCTCTGCATGGGGGACTGCTGGGGCTCTGTTTGGCAGCTGTTCCTCCTCTGCACTGGATATTTCTTTTTTGGTTTTGTACTTGAGCTGTTTGCAACTCCCCAAACAATGTCTAGATTAAAATATATAATAAACATTGAATTATGGGTAAGATCCGTAGAAGAAGAGGTCTTGTTTACATTTCAGTTACCTTTTCAAACAGTCCAGCTGTCAGAGAACCTTTTTACATTAACTTAATATGGAAAAAATTCAGTGGGTCTCCTTTGCCAAGGAAACCTCTGTGCCTTGTGGAGCATTTGGGAATCAAGAAGAGCTTTCTAGGGAGCGTGCATAGTTCCGATGGGACACTGGGCCACCCCGTTGGCCCGTATGCTTTCCTTGCATGAACTGAGTGCGTGTCCTAGAAGGCCTTTAATGGTTGCTCAGGGAAAGGGAAGGTAGGCAAGGGTGGAAAAGCTCTCTCTTGTGACGTTTGTCCGTCATGACTGCCCTTTGTATCTGATGGTGATGGTCATGGTGATGATCTTCCGGGGCAATGCAGTCCCGTCTGGAACAATGCTGAAGCAAGAGGGGCATCTGCCAAAGAGGTGAGTCTTTTGCCCTTGCTCGTGCTGACACGTGCAGCCTCGGGCATCGCATCTGGCGACCCTGTTTCTGCACAAGAATGCACATGGGCACATAATGTATTTGCTGGATGTCGGCCGTTCTTGCAGCCCAGTAAGGAGTGGGAAGAGATGGCTGGCAAGACTCAGTTGGACCGCTGCAGGTACAGGGTTCCTTTTGAGGACTGGTAGCGCACCACCATAAACTTGGGGATATCACTAAAATAGCTCTCTCTGCTTTCTTGTTTAGTGGAAAATGTCATAATCAGATTGTCCTGACACCGATGGTGGAAAGGCTGTCCACAGAGTCCCTGTGTGAACAGCTGCCCTACACACTGACTCTCCTCTCCATGCCTGCAGCCACAGACGGCAGAAGAGGGTTCACAGTGACGGTCGAGAGCGGCCATTCCGCTTATGCTACTAGTGTCCAAGTGAAAGAGTGAGTGTAAAGCTGTCACTTCTGCACTGTGTAAGCCAACACGTTTATGGTGTACCCCTTGCATCTGGGAACCTGTGAGATCCTGGTTCATGGCTTTGTAGTACACTATCTGGCATATTGTTCCTTCTTACGCATTCAGTCATTTCTTTAAAAAGAAAAAAGCTTGGCGGCTGGCTTTCAGAGGTCAACGCTGCACACTCCAGTGCTTGCTTTCACTGCTGAAGGAAGTGGAATGGTTCACTTAGACCTCCAACTAAGAGAACTGCATGGGCATTCATGCTCCTCTTCCTTTCCATTCCCTGGGTCTCATCCCTTTTATTTCCACCTGATTGTTCACCTTCAGGTTTGCATGGAACTCCAGCAATTGAAGAGTTCAAAATAGGGCAGAGTCCAACTTGTGCAGATGCATTCTGTGCAAATGCTTTCAAATCCATTCAGCTTTGCCTTGAAACTTTCTCACAGTGGAGATCATAGGATCATGGCCATTTTGGCTGTTGAATCCAACCCTCTGCTCAGTGCAGAAGTGCCTTCTAAAGCTTCTCTGGCAGGTGCCTGCCCAGTCCCTGCTTGGATACTTCCAGTGATGGAGGGCCTGCCATCTCCCTAGGTTGTTAGTTCCATTCCCTGACTCCTCCAGCCAGTTGGGCTTGCTTATTTTTCATCACAGCGATGGGCAGGGAGGCACCCTGGATCCCTTGTCTGCAGCGCAAGCCTTTCTTTTGCACTTGGCTTGAGTGTTCCAAGCACAGATGAACATTCCTCCTTGAATGCGTGAGAGCTGGAGTGTGACTAACAGAGCTGTCCTCACAGCCTGCCTTTGTCCATCTGAACCTGCACTTCTTTGCCTGCCTTCCTGGTACTCTTCCTGCTCCAAAGCAAGAGGTGGCTGTTACTGCAGGGGAAATATGCTGCCCTGCCAGCCTTCTCCTCAAGCAGGGACCGCCTGGTTAGGAATACTTTATGAAGCATCACTTTCCAGCCAGGAATTCTAGAGCTTTTCCTGGTGGGAAAAGATGCTTCACTGGTGATTAGAGAGGCTGCAACCTTGCAGTTCTTCAGTACCAAGGGAAACTTATTTGCCTTGGGGAAAGGGCCAGATGAAATTGGTGGTGGTGGTAGCAAAGTGGAGTCACTTTGAGGATGCTTATCGGTCCTTTGCATAGTCATTTGGAACACATGTGAGCCCCAAGTCCTTCCAGAGCAAGCACAGAGATGATGTGTCTGTCTTGGTATGTCAAGATATGATATATTGCATCATATAAAGAATCTTAGTTCAGCCTTTCCCAACTTGGCGCCTTCCCACATTTCAGACCATTTCAGGCCAGATTTCCCAGTATTCCTGCCCATTGGCCATGCTGGCAGGGACTCTACAACTTTTGTAAAGTACCTGGTTGCTGAAGGCTTTATAGCTCTCCCTCTTCTCCTTTGGAGAATCGGCAAAAGAAAAAGCATAGTTCTGATTCCTAGACATTTATTCTTGGTTTAGAGTCAATCGAATGCACATTAGTCCTGATGTTCAAAACGCCATTCACCCTGGAGACAAGATCCTGGAGATCAACGGAACCCCAGTTCGCACACTACCAATGGAAGAGGTAGGGTTTTTCTTGAAGTCTTTCCATCCTGGTGATTTGAGGAGTAGAGCAGAGGAAGAAGGGCAAGTGGCTCAGTGGCAGAGCACCTGTTCTGCAACAGAGGATCTTGGGTCCGGTCCCTGGTTTCCCTAGGCAGAAGGGCCCTGCCTGCCTGACATCCTTGGAGAGCCTCCGGTGGTCAGCATGGACAGGCCAGACTGGACGGATCACAAATGGGGTGAGGCAGTTGCATCTGTCCAGCAGCTGCAGGGGCCTTTGATCTGCTCTCGAGGAAGTCTGTCAGTCTGTCCATAAGGGACCAGCTGAAGACAAAAGAAGACTTTCCATGCTTGTGAATTTTCTTTCCAAAGGCCAATTGCCAGCTTTTGCATTAGGAGTAACACTGGCCCTTCTGTATACAGCATAACAAGGAGGCTGATATAAAGAGTAAAGTACCCATACAGTTATCTCCTTCATTTTTTAAAAAGCCTCATCCATTATGCTTGTCTGATAATGCATGTAATGCCAGTGTTCGTCTTTCTGGGTGGAAATATATAGATTCCCCTTTGGAAACCTTCCACTCACATTGTTTTATTTCTCAGGTGGAGGATCTGATTCGCAGAACAAGCCAAACTCTCCAGCTGCTGATTGAGCATGACCCTGTTTCCCAGCGCCTGGACAGACTGCGCCTGGACTCCCGCCTGCCTGGGCGCATGAAAAAGCCCTCCTCCCCTTGCCCTATTTCTGCCCTGGACCTTAAGGAGAATCTGGAAGGAACACTGCGGCGGCGCTCCCTCAGGTCAGCTGCCGGAGCCCTGCCTGCTTGCCTCTGGCTGCCTTTGCCCCTGGCTATGGACTTGCAGGGCATGGGGAATGCAGGGCATCTGGAGCATGTTTGATGCAGGGGGCTGCAGAGGCAGTGATTTCACAGAGGATGCAGCCCTCTCACGGATGCGCCTTGTACATTTTTGTTCTTTGGCACCAACACCAGCTTCAGTTGCTTTCTGCTAAGAGTTGAATTAGAAACAAAGAAACAGAGCGAGTCAGAAGGGGTCTACTCGGCCATCTAGTCTGACCCCCGGCTCCAGCCAGCTCCACTCACGACATGCCCACCATGTGCACGTCCAGCCTATCCTTGAACACCCCACTGATGGGGCCTCAGCCTCCTCCCGTGGAAGCCCATTCCATACCGTCGGGGTCCTAACTGTCAGGAAGTGCTTCCTGGCATCCAAATGGAACCTTGGTTCCTTGAGCTTTGCTGCATTGGAGTGCGTCCTGCCCTCCTCTGCAGGGGAAAAAGGTCCCTACCCACCTCTGTGTGACACCCCCTCATGTACCCACCGTCTCTGTCGCCAACATATCCCCTCTGAGTCTCCTCTTCTCCAGGCTGAAGAGACCCAGTTCCCTCAGTCTCGCCTCATACGGCATCCCCTGCAAACCGGCCACCAACCTTGTGGCCCTACGCTGCACTGACTCCAACCTGGCTATATTCTTTCTGTAATGAGGGGCCCAAAACTGAGCACAATACTCCAGTTGTGGGCGCACAGAGTTCTGTAGAGTGGTAGTAGTACCTCTCTTGATCTAGAAGCCACACTTCTGGCTATGCAACCAAGGGTGGCGTTCGCCCTCTTGACCACCGCATCACACGGCTGACTCATGTTTAGCCTGCAGTCAACCAGCACCCCGAGGTCCCTTTCACAAGTGCTGCTCTCCAGCCACTTGTCCCCTAACCTGTACTTATGACAGCTATTCCTATACCCCAAGTGCAAGACCTTGCACTTATCCACATTGAACGTCATCCTGTTGTCTCCTGCCCACTTCCATAGTCTGTCCAGATCCTTTTGGATCTGGAGTAGCTGCTCCTCAGTTGTGGCCACTGCTCCAGTTTTAGTGTCGTCTGCGAATTTGATCAGCAGACTGTTCACCCCTTCTTCCATGTCATTAATGAAAAGATTAAACAGGATTGGCCCCAGGACAGAGCCCTGGGGGACCCCACTCGTCACTGGCCGCCATCCCGATGATTCCCCACTAATGATTACCTTATGCTTTTTGTCAGTCAACGATGCCCTAATGCACCGGACAGTGCTTTGGTGTATCCCAAAACTCCTCAGTTTCTCCACCAGGATATCATGGGGCACTTTGTCAAAGGCTTTGCTGAAATCCAGATATACCACATCCACTGCATCCCCTCCATCTAGCCATCTTGAAACCTTGTCATAGAATTCCACAAGGTTTGTCTGGCAGGACCTGTTTTTGCGGAAGCCGTGTTGTGTGACTGCCAGCCTCCCTTCCCTATCTAGCATCACTAGTTCTCTCTCTATTATGAGCTTTTCCATTGTTTTTCCTACAATGGATATAAGGCTAACTGGTCTGTAATTCCCCATGTCCCTTCTACTACCCTTTTTGAAAATTGGGACTACTGATGCCACCCTCCAGGCCTCTGGAACTTCACCCCTTCTCCAAAAGCCCTCAAAAATGGAGGCCAGAGGGCATGGGAGAACCCCTGCCAACTCTCTAATTACTCTCTGGTGTAACCCATCAGTGCCTGGAGTCTTTGTAATGTCCAATGCCTTGAGGAGCCCCTCAACTTCGAGGGGGGTGACTGTAATCTGTGCCCCTAAGTCCCCAGCCTCATCTAATCTCCTATGCGGATCTCCCCCGTCCTGCTTTGGGGAGAACACAGAGGCAAAACAGTCATTTAGCATCTGTGCCTGTTCCCTCGTATCAGTCACTGGACCTTCTTCCTCCTTATTTAGTGGTCCCACTACTTGTCTCCCCTTCCTCTTGCTATGTACATGCTGATAGAAGCCCTTTTTGTTGCTCTTGATATTCTTGGCAAGTCTCAGCTCGTAATCAGCCTTAGCCTTGCGAAGAATTCTTTTGCAACGGGCCTCCTCCTCCCGGTATACACTTTTGTCTATTTGCCCCAGTACCCATTTCTCACAGAGGTTCCTCTTGCGTCTAATCCCTCTAACCACCTCCTTTCGCATCCATGGCAGTGCCTCCAAAACCTCCCTTTTGAGTGCCATCCACCCCTCCTCAACTCCCTTGCCTTCCAGTAACCCATCCCAGGAGACTTTCCCCAGTCTGGCCTTCAGTTGGCCAAAGTTGGCCCTCTTGAAGTCCCAGCTTCTAGTGCTCGACCTGCTGCACATCCCCAGTCCCCTGATTTCAAAGCAAAGGATGGAGTGATCACTTGCATCCAGAGCTCCGCTAATCTGCACTTCATCTATCAGCTCCTCCCTATTGTTCAAGACCAAGTCAAGGGTGTTTCCCCCCCATCACCTCTTGGACCCTCTGCATGAAAAACCCTCCTTCTATAGCGTCTAGGAAGCGACGTGACCTGGCTTTCACCACTGAGTGAGAGTCTCCCAACTAATATCTGAGATATTGAAATCTCCCATAATTACCGTGTCCCTCCCCTGAGATATCCTTAGAATCTGGTCTTTCAGGACATCATCCAGGGTCTCTAGTTGACCTGGAGGGCAATAACCTACTCCCACTGTCGGGTCCCTCTCCCTGTCAAAACCCCTAAGTTTCACCCAGACTGCCTCTACCGAATCCCCATCTGTGCTGCATTCTGTCTCACTGCATCCTATCCCTTCCCTGAGGTAGAAAGCCACACCCCCACCCCTCTTTCCTTTCCTGTCCTTTCTAAACAGATGATACCCCTCTATGTTTACATTCCAGACTTGCCTTTCATCCCACCAAGTTTCCACGATCCCCACCAGGTTATACCCTCTTATTCCCTGGAGAGCTTCAAGCTCTTCCTGCTTATTACCCATGTTCCTTGCATTGGTGTACAATGTACATGCACCTCAACTCCTTCCCACCGCTTACTTTATTTGGAGTTCCCAGCCTCCTCCTTCCTCCCATCTTCCCTGATAATGGCCCCCTCTTCGTAGGAGTCCTGTCAATTCCTGCAGTACCTCTAAAACCCTGCTCCCAGAGCCCTGATCCTCTCCCCTCACTTGTCCAGTGCGGACCAGTTTCTGGAGGGCCTGAACATCCCCCTCCCCCCCCCGGCTCAGTTTAAAGTCTTCCTGACAAAGCTCACTAGAGCATCTCCAAAGGACCTTTTCCCCATCCTCGTGAGGTGCAGCCTGTCCCTTGCCAGAAGTCCATTGGCAAGAAACCGGATGCCGTGGTCAAGGAACCCAACATGTTTCTTCTGGCACCACACCCTAAGCCAGTCGTTCACCTCGGCAACCCTCCTTTCCCTCCCTGGCCCAAATCCCCAGACCAGTAAGATCGACGAGAAGGCCACTTGGGCCTTGAGCTCCCTGAATTTCTTTCCCAAGGCCTCGAAGTCCCTGGTAATCCCAACCACACCCTGCCTGGCCACATCATTTGTGCCCACTTGGATCACCAGGAGCGGCTGGTGACCCCCTGAGGGAAGAAGATGCTCTACTCTGTCCTTCACATGCTGGATTCATGCGCCTGGCAGGCAGCAGACCTCCCTTGCCTCAAGGTCACGGAGGCACACCACCGCCTCAGTGCCCCTCAGCAGGGAGTCCCCGATGATGATCACCCATCGCCATCTCTTCGTGGTGGTGGTGGGTGGCCGTGGCCTGGCCCTTGCCTCTCCTGCAGTGGCCCCCTTGCTGCATGTGGTCCCAGGCTGGGGGTCCTACTGGTCCCCCAACGCCTCATTAGCCCCAGCCTCCCCAAGTGGAGAGAACCTGTTTCCCAGCTCTAGATAGGTGCCAGAAGAAGGAGGAGGCCCTGCTGGCCTCCCCCTCCTGAGGGTGACATGCCTCCATGTCTCTGGGGCTGCTCCTCCCGTGGCCTCTCCCTCGACCTTCTGTCCGGAGGGGGGCTGCTCCCGGGGGGCTTGGAGGGCTCTCTCGGCCCTCAGGCACCGCACCTCCTCCTCCAGGAGGGACACCCGCTTGCACCCAGGGCAAGTTTAGCCCTGCCTCTCCTGGGGGAGAAGGGTGAACGTGTTGCAGCTGTCACAATGGACAACAAAAGCCGTGACTCCCGCCAGGGCCATCTCCTGGTCTGCCATTGGGAACCCCTCAGAGGCCCTGCCTTGGTCCCCCGCCTTGTCTGTCCTGTGCTGCTCCTTACTTGCCCAGTTCTCCCAGACAAAAACCCACACACACACACACACACACACACACACACATACACACAAGAATAAAAGAAAAAAATAAATGCGGGGGGACCCTGCCCCCCAGGGAAGGGAGTCCCCGGGCAGCATGGGCCGCAGCTAAGGGACACAGACAAGGGATGACGCCCAGGTATACACAGTCTTATCAGTTCCTCAGGCCACTGGCCCCACCCCTCGGCTTCCTCCTGGCCCCTCTGGCCCCGCCCCCTTCCTCTCCACTGCTCCTGTCCCCCCCCCCCACTCCTCTGCCCAGCTCCTGCCTTGCCTTCGCCAGCCCCCTGGCTGCCCTCAGCGCTCCTCCCAGCCTCTGCCGCTCTGCTGCTCTGCCAAGAGGCAAGAGCCTAAAGGAAGTTGTTGTCGTGGACATTAGAACATTTAGCTGCCAAAGTACGAGCCCTGCACCCACTGTCCGGAGGCATCCCAGTCAGTGACAGTCATTTTCAGTTTATGACAAGCACACCCAAGCAGAGTACAAACAGTGTGTGTGTCTTTCTTGTGCATCCCACAGTGCACATGCAGCCCCTGCTCCAGTTCGGAGCCTTTTTCCTCAGGCACACAGAGCCCCAGCCAGGCGATGAGGAGCTAACGCCTGGCTGGCTCTCCTCCTGTTCCCCTACTGGCATGGCGGGCTGTTCAGGATGACTGTTTGAAATAATCCAATTAATACGCATGAAGAAATGGGTAAAAAGTACACCTGTATGTGCAGTGGGAAGGGCAGATTCAGGTGAGCATCAAGTCTTCTGAAAACCGGCTTGTTCCCTGGCTTGTAATTGATCCTGAAATGCTCTCTTATCCTTGTGTTCCTCTTGCTGTAGGCTACTCACTGTTGATTGGGCTGTATTGCACTGTATATTTTAGCCCTTTTGTTACAGAGGCTGGCCATGATAGTTGCTTTCTGTCTGCTCCTGCCTGGCATCCAACATCACTCCCAGGCCCCTCCAGCAAGAGCCCTAACATGGTGTGCTTTGTATTTCAGGCGGAGCAACAGTACTTCCAAGTCCCCTGGCCCCAGCTCTCCAAAGGAACCGCTCATCCTTGGCCGAGACATTGGTCGTTCTGAATCACTCCGCTGCTCTACCAGTTATTCCCAGCAAATCTTCCGTCCCTGTGATCTCATCCATGGGGAAGTGTTGGGGAAGGGATTCTTTGGCCAGGCTATCAAGGTGAGGAACCCATACGCAGGCTGACTCTGCCAACACAACCAAAACCAAGGGGGGCGGCGGGTTAACGGCTTCTCACAGCAGGTTCCTATCCCCTAAAACTGTCCCGGTTGAATTTTGTGGCCTGCCTGGATCCTGCTCACAGTCAGATCCACTACCACCTCGGGGAGCTTTAAAGAGGGATTGGATCCTATCCTGAGGACCAGGTATCAGTGATTGCAGGTTTGCTCCAGTATTGGGAACAGGCCATATGCTCCTGTGCCCCCATTGCTCAGGAGCAGGAAGGTGCTGTTGCATGCATGTCCTCAGTGCAGGCATCCCACAGGTGCTTGCTTGGTGAGCCACTGCGGGAGCACTGAACTGGAGAGGCCTTTGGTTTGACACACCAAGACTCTGCCTGTGTTCTTAGATGTTTAGGGTTCGCCAGTCCTGGTACTTTCCTTGGAACAGGTGCTGAGACGGTGATGACAGCACTTCGTTTGCCTTCTCCAGCTGCCTCTTTCTTTCATTCTGGCTGGATGTGAGGGCCTCAGTGGCTGTATGTCCACTTGTTCAGCACCGGGGTCTGTGATGACCTGAGACTGAAACACTGCAGCTCATCTTCAGGCTGTTAACACGATCTGCTTTCAGGATCCTGCTTAAGCCAGATCAGCTGTTGCCCGAGAAACACATGGCCTGCTTCGTCATGGTCTCCATGCATCACACGTCATGGGTGCTGAGCCTGCACAGTGTCTGTTCCTGGGAAGACTTAATAGCTTTAATGGTTTTTGGTGGGAACTCCACCCCTCCTCCACCGTAGTATAAATAGTCGGAGTGCCCACCCTTTCCCCAGTCTACTTGTGATCGTCGTTCACCGTGCCTCGGGCCTTTCTTCTCTTCACTTGTCTCCTTGTCTTCTCGTTCGTAATCCTTTAAATCCTTTAAGAGAAAGAAACTTTTTCTTTCTCTTAAACTCCACTTTACAACCCTAAATCCCGTTGTTCACCTTACCAAACCCCTACCTTTATTTCTTGTTCTATTCTCTCCCTTCCCCTTAACCCTTTCAAATTAAAAAAAAAACCCTCTATCATCCTTATCTCTCCACAAACTATCTCCGTTTGCTGTCTTTCTTTCTCTCTTCTCCTCAATGATAGAGAGGCACAGCAGGCGACCTTCTGCAGGTGCTCACAGTGTGGAGCCAGAATGTCTCCCAGTGATCCTCATGATCTGTGCCTTCTCTGCCTTGGAGAAGGGCACAGGATCGATAAGTGCAGCCACTGCCAGTCGTTCACCAGGCACGCTGGCAAAAATTGCAAGAATAGGCTGCATAAAATGTTACGGGACCAAGCACTGGTTGCCATGAAGCAGGTCTAGGCGGAGACCAGCTCTTCTGTGGCTTCGGGACCATCGAAATCCATTGCCCCTCGCCCATCCGAAGGGGATCTTCTCGACAAGGATGGAAGGCGCTCCTCCTCCTCACAAACATAAGATGTTGAGAAAGCATGTTGGGTCCGGGGAATCATTGAAACCCAAGCATCCTAAGAAAGGCAAACCCAACAAATCCGAGCACTGGCACAAAAAGCATGACAAAGTATCCCACTCTGAGCCAATTACTGCATCGATCTCAGTTTCAGCTGAACAACCAAGCTGCCAGTCAGTTATACAGGTCACACCTCCACCATCACCTCTGTGGATTACAGCTTCGCTGCACTTCAGTAACAACCACTCCGATCCTATGGTGAGAGCTTTGATCTCCGATGGAGAGATCTGTGAATCTCCCCTGCAGTCGGGTCCAGACCGTCCACCTGCAAGACCTCCCTCTCCTGTGGACCAGTCATCTCTGGAGGGCTCTCCGAGGGCATCTCGATGCCCGTCATCCCTCTTACCACCCCAGCCTTCTGCACCACAATCTTCATGGTACTGGGTACCTCTACCATTTGGAGAATTCAGCCCCGCTTGATTTGACCGAACTTATCCATGGGATTAGTACCCCCCCATACGGGTACTACCCACGACCACCAATACGTCCCCATCGTTCTACCTCTCACTCAGTGTCGAGGGACGCCCTGACAACATCTGCTGCAGTGCTCACCCGTCCACCAACGTCTCCCAGTGGGTCCTCATCCAGTCCACCCTACCAATCAGGATCGGATTCGGAGGACTCCCAGCAAGCCTTTACTTCTCCTGATGCCATTATCTCCACTCAAGGTCCTGGGTCTCTGGGCCAGCTTCTCTGAGCTGCTCTCGCAGATGACGAAATCATTGGAGATAGACATTCAACAGCACATAGATGCCAACCAAGATAACATTAACAACATTGTAAAGAGAATTCATCGTCCATCGCCCTGCCATTTATCACCACTCTTCGACTGGCGCTGACTGGCAGCTTCTGAACCACGTACATCCCACCTGCAGAGGTTTAGAAGTGATATATAAAGTTCGAAAGCAAGACATCCTGTTCCTGCTGAAACACCCGCAGCCAAACTCAATAGTCATCGAGTCCTCACAAGGCAAGCAAACCAAAGAACGTTCAACTCTGGCTGATAAAGAGGACAGAAGAATTGACATGATGTCTTGCCAGATCTATGCCACAATAGGACTCAGTCTTCGGATCTTGAACTGCAAGGCCACCATGGCCCGCCATCAGTTTTTTCTCTGGCAAAAGATTGAGTCCCTCACTGCATTCCTCTCAGACCAGCAAAGAGAACTAGCCCACTTATTCATTGCAGAGGAAATGGTGCTTTTCAGACAACAGCTGAATACAGTGAGACATCATGTTGATTGTGACTCCAGAGCTCTCGTTGGTGCTGTTGCCCTTCACCATCACGCTGGTAATCTGCCACAAGAGACGATGCAGCATGTTGAGAGCATGCCATTTGACGGCTCTGGACTATTTAATTCGAAGATGAATGACAAACTTGAGAACATCCAGAAAGCTCAGCTGACTGCACATCACATGAAAAATCTTCCCAGCAGAGACGTAAGTGGCCATGGAACAGATCCCAGTACTGGTACCAGCCTTACCATCAACCATACCCCACGGGACATCAACACTATGGCCAGAGACAACAAAGGAATCAAAGACAAAATGTGCCTCGATACCAACAACCTAGGCGCCGACCAGAGGCAGATAAATGACAACGCCAATGGGACGCCCAAACGTTTACTCATTCCTTTAACCCACCTTCCCCCCTCCCTTTTGGGGACCAGCTGTAAAGCCAAATCCCCATCTGGGAGTCCATCACATCTGATAAGTGGGTTCTTACCATTGTAGAGCAGAGATATAAAATTGAGTTTGAGACCATGCCACCTTCCAGCCCGATCCGGTACACAGCAGCCTCCCCAGCCCTTTGGGAAGAAGTCACCGAGCTGCTTCATAAGGGAGCGGTTCGTAAACTTCATCGCTTCAGAGGACTGCACGGTTTCGACTTCAGGTACTTTATGTTACCAAAACAAGTTGGTGGTCTATGTCCCATTCTAGACTTATGTGGGGTCAATAAATATAGTAAAACAAAAAAATTCAGAATGACCACACTCCAGAATATATTTCCATTGCTCAGGAAAGAGGATAGGTTCGCATCCCTGGACTTGAAAGATGCTTACTTTCACATCAGCATCCATCCTACTCACAGGCGTCTCCTTCGGTTCACTGTCAGTACCATTGCCTTTGAACATGATGTGCCCCCCTTCGGGCTTGCTACCGCTCCGAGAGTCTTCACCAAGTGCACAACTCCAGGGATGACCTTCTGGCCTCCATCAGTACTACCTGTTCTCTGCTAGACCAACTTGGACTCTGTATTAATACTTTAAAATCATGCCTCATTCCCTCTCAGATCATCAGTTTCATCAGAGCACACCTAGACTCCCTACGCACACGAGCCTTCCTTCCTCAGGACCGACAAGAAAGACTGCTTTCTACAATCCAACAGATCACTGCCCAATGCCTGCACACTTGATCCAACAAGTGCTCGGTCATATGATGTCCATGGTATCAGTGGTGCCGAATGCAAGGCTGGAAATGAGACCTTTGCAGCTCTGGTTCAATCACAACTTCCACCTGGACCACGATCGACTGAACCAGCTACTACAAACTCTGCACTCCGTCCCCCAGACCTTGTCCTGGTGGACTATCAATATCAATCTCTCCTGTGGAGTTCCATTCTAGGCACCGGAACCGACCATGACACTTTATACCAATGCTTCACTGACTGAATGGAGTGCCCACTGTGCGTCTTTTCAGACGCAAGGCACCTGGCATGGACATGAGACCACCAGGCATATCAGCTATTCCAATTGAAGCTAGAAGTGCTAACAGTCTTCAAAGCACTTTGTTCCTTCCAAACCATCCTACAAGACCACATGGTACAGATAGCATCAGACAATGTTTTGACTTTGTTCTACATAAACAAACAGGGCGGTATGAAATCAGTACCGTTGGCACATCTTGCCCTCCGCATGTGGAACTGGTGCATTGCCCACAGGATTGCTCCTCGAGCTGTCCATCTTGCAGGCGCTGACAACGAGGAAGCCAGCTCTCTCAGCAGGCACATGTTGACGATGCCCGCGTGGGAACCAGAGCAACACGTTTGTCAACATCTGTTTCGACACTGGGGAACACCAGACATAGACTTGTTTGTGACTCACGACAACTCTGTCTGCAGGACATGCAGCTCCTGAGCGGTCATTGGCCTGGATTCGATTGGGGATGCACTCATGATTTGGTAGGAGAACAAATTCTTGTATGCATTCCCACTGATACCACTAATAATAAGGACCATAGCCAAAATTCGACAAGACGACACTCACAGAATTCTCCTCACCCCTTGATGGCCCCATCTGTCGTGGTTCCCCACTCTTCTCCAACTATCACACAACAATTTTCTTCACCTACCTCAAGTTTCCCATCTTCTCACTCAGGAACACAGTGCCATACAACATCCGGACCTAGATTCTCTAAACCTTACCGCCTGGCTCATTCATTGACTGTTTCTTCATCTTTATTGTCAAACTCATCCTCTTCAGAT